TTAAAAGCCTTGGGTGTTGATTCACTCTGGGCCTGAATAATTCACACCGAAAGACCGAGACGCACCACAAAATTTTTTTTTACCCCCAACAGTGGATTCACCAACATTTGTACATTTAGATAACACACTCACACACTTACACACACACACTTACACACACGAGATGTGTTCTCTGTCTTGAAGCCTTGGCTTTAATCTGCTCGAGGCCTGAATAATTCACATTGAAACACCAAGACAGACACTCACACACACTCACACACTACTCCTTCCCTCACACTTTACACACTCATCTCAGTCACACAATTCACACACTCCCCCACACACTTTACCCACTCAATCCCTCCCTCACCCACTTTACACACTCACTCCCTCCCCCACACACTCACTCCCTCCCTCCCTCACACACTTTACACACTCACTCACTCCCTCCCTTCCTCCCCTCACTTTACACACTCACTCCCTCACACTTTACACACTCACTCCCTCCCTCCCCCACACTTTACACACTCACTCCCTCACACTTTACACACTCACTCCCTCCCTTCCTCCCCCACACACTTTACACACTCACTCCCTTCCTCCCTCACACTTTACACACTCACTCCCTCCCTCCCTTCCTCCCCCACACACTTTACACACTCACTCCCTTCCTCCCTCACACTTTACACTCACTCCCTCCCCCACACACTTTACACTCACTCCCTCCTCCACACTTTACACACTCCCTCCCTCCTCCACACTTTACACACTCCCTCCCTCCTCCACACTTTACACACTCCCTCCCTCCTCCACACTCCCTCCCTCCCTCCACACTTTACACACTCCCTCCCCCACACACTTTACACACTCCCTCCCTCCTCCACACTTTACACACTCCCTCCCTCCCTCCTCCACACTTTACACACTCCCTCCCTCCCTCACACACTTTACACACTCCCTCCCCCACACACTTTACACACTCCCTCCCTCCTCCACACTTTACACACTCCTCCTCCCTCCCTCACACACTTTACACACTCCCTCCCTCCGTCACACACTTTACAAACTCCCTCCCTCCCTCCTCCACACTTTACACACTCCCTGACTCCCTCCCTCACACTTTACACACTCCCTCCCTCCCTCCCCCACACACTTTACACACTCCCTGACTCCCTCCCTGACACACTTTACCCCCCCTCCCCCCCCCCATATATATATATATATATAATAGGGCCTAACTTGACACCAAAACATTGCTCACCTCCTCTCCTTCGCTGTGGCTTCAGGGGTCGCCTCTGCAGCACAGACCAAACTGCCCTTCCGCTTCGGGAAGATGAGGGGAGTGAGTGAGTGAGTGAGTGTGGGAGGAGGAGGAGTGGAGGAGTGGGTGAAGGAAGGAAGGAGGGAGAGAGAGAGAGAGAGGAGGGAAGGAAGGGGGAAGAGGAGGGAGGAAAGCCCGAGGCCTTAGGGAGGGCCTCCCTCCCCCCCAAAAAAAAACAACCAACACACACCAACCCCCCAACCCCCACCCTCTCTCTCTCTCTCTCTCACTCACTCACTCACTCTCTCCCCCCCAAAAAAGCTGCCACAATCCTCTCTTCCTCCCTCCCTCCCACAGAGAGAGAGAGAGAGAGAGAGAAATATACACTTAAATATATATATATATATGTTATATATAAAACGTAAACCAATTTCAAAAAAGGGAAAGAGAAAAGAACACGAGAGAGAGAGAGAGAGAGTGAGGGGGAAAGGGAAAGAGGGGGAGAGGGAGAGAGAGGGAGTTAAAAAAAAGGAAATATATTTAAAAAATTAGATTCTAAGAAAATAAGAGTGAGAGAAAAAGGACACCCAAGAGAGGAGGGGAGAGGGGGAGAGGGGGAGTGTGAGGAAAATTGGATTGGAAATGTAAATCAAATTCAAAAGAAGATAAGAGAGAAAAATAATCAATAATACTATGTATGAGTGAGTGTGTGGGGAGAGTGAGGAGAGAGTGAGTGTGTGGGGAGAGTGAGGAGAGAGTGAGTGTGTGGGGAGAGAGTGAGTGTGAAGGGAGAGTGAGTGTGTGGGGAGAGAGTGAGGAGAGAGTGAGTGTGTGGGGAGAGTGAGTGTGTGGGGAGAGAGTGAGTGTGAGGGGAGAGTGTGAGTGTGAGGGGAGAGAGTGAGGAGAGAGTGAGTGTGTGGGGAGAGAGTGAGTGTGAAGGGAGAGAGTGAGTGTGTGGGGAGAGTGAGGAGAGAGTGAGTGTGTGGGGAGAGAGTGAGGAAAGAGTGAGTGTGAGGGGAGAGAGTGAGGAAAGAGTGAGTGTGAGGGGAGAGTGAGGAGAGAGTGAGTGTGAGGGGAGAGTGAGTGTGTGGGGAGAGTGAGGAGAGAGTGAGTGTGAGGGGAGAGAGTGAGGAGAGTGAGTGTGTGGGGAGAGTGAGTGTGTGGGGAGAGTGAGGAGAGAGTGAGTGTGAGGGGAGAGAGTGAGTGTGAGGGGAGAGAGTGAGTGTGAGGGGAGAGAGTGAGTGTGTGGGGAGAGAGTGAGGAGAGAGTGAGTGAGAAAAAAAAGAGCGGGATGTCGCCGCCACCTGTCGTCCGTCAGGGCCTCGCGTGTGACAGAGAGAGAGAGAGAGACGGAAAAGAAGAGATAAATAAATAGAGTGACTGAAGAGAGGAAAATAGAGAGAGAGATGAATAGAGAGAATGTGAGAGAGAGAGAGAGAGAGAGAGGAAGAAAAAAAGGGAGAGAGAGAGAGGAGAAGGGGGGGGGGAGGAAAGGGGAAATAATATCTTGTGGGGGAGGGGAGGGAAGGGGGGGAGAGAGAGAGAGAAAAAAAAACACCCCAAAAAAAAACGGAGGAAAAAAAGAAAAAAGAGAGGAAGGAAAAAAAGAAAAGCTTTCGCCGGCTCCGGCTCCTTGCGCGCCGCGTCACCGCTTTCTGCGCACCTTCTGACGTCGCGCGGCTCCGCCCCCGCGCGCCGCGTCACCGCTTTCCGCGCACCTTCTGACGTCGCGCGGCTCCGCCCCCCCCGCGCGCCGCGTCACCGCTTTCCGCGCACCGCCCGACGTCGGCGGCTCGTCACCGCTTTCTGCGCACCCTCTGACGTCGGCGGCTCCGCCCTGCCACCCGCCCCTAGCCCCGCCCCCAACTCCTCCACACTCCACCCCCCCCCCGCACGCCTGACGTCATCGCTATTGGGTACACACATGTCTGTGTGTTGTATTGGATTGGGAGAGAGATAGAAAGAGACAGAGAGAGAGATAGAGAGATAGAGGGAGGGAGGGAGGGAGGGAGAGGGCGAAGGGGTTGGTCTTATCAATGGAGTCGGCATTGTTTCGAGAAGAAACGAGAAAGATTCATAATAATATTTAGGAATTATTTCATTCCCGAAGACGCGATGAGGCGCTGCGTCAATTCCAAAGGATTATTATTATCATCACTATCCTCGTCATTATTATTGTTGTTAGGATAATGAATCTCGCATCTGATACAGCCCCCACCCCCCCCCCCCCCACCCCCTTCGTCACGTCGCCGAGACGTCGTAAAGCGGAGTGACTGTGTGTTTGGAGGGCCCAATTGCGCCCAGCGACGTCCCCGCAAACAGCCGTGGGTCGAAGTGACCAATTTATTGGAATGGTGGAAGGCGAACTTGGTTCTTCTTTCGCCGGGGAAACTCTTATGTTCTTATGTCTTATCCGTGGAATATATATAGCTGGGAGAGCAGGAGGAGTCCATGTAACGTTTATTGTAATGCAAGTCGTATTCATCATTATAATCCTGGCATTTGATACAGCGCCTTATCACCTCTTCGAGACGCCTCAAAGCGCTTCACAGGATGCACTGCTAAAGTGTGGTTACTGTGTACTTTATGGGCGCAACGTGGACTGACAGATGCCAACGCACCCCAATAAAGAATCCATGGCACCATCTTCTGGCCATGGAAGAGCATTGCTTTATATTCATAATAAAAATCCTTGCATTTGATATCGTGCCGTATCGTGTCTTCGAGACAACATGATAAGGCGCTACGTCAAATGCAAAGATTATTATTAATAATACTCAGGATGTGATCCATTTGGTTGCTGGTCGATTTAGTTGCTTGAGGGATGGATCTTTGGCCACAATGTGGCACTCTTGCCTTAATATCCAGCAAACATCAAAATTGTTCACATGTAGTATTAAACATTTAGACCATTTAGACCGTGGAGTCCTGTGGCTCAGTGGTTAGAGCACTCGCTTTGCAAGTGAGAGACCTGAGTTCAATTCCAGGCAGAGGGCGAAACCTCGGGCAAGTTTCCTTACTCCACACAGAGCCTAATAATAATCCTCCAAAACCAAAACAAAAATAAATTGGTCATTTTCAATCTACCACTGTTTGTGGGACATTGCTGTGCGCAATTGGCTGCCGCATTCGCCCACAAATATACAGTCAATTCACTTTACAGTGTGTTCTGTGAAGCGCTTTGGGACGTCCTCCCGACGTGAAAAGCGCTATATCAAATGCAAGGATTATTATTATTATTATTTTCCTTTTAAGATGTGTCCACTTCCAAAAATCAACTGGGGGTTTCAACTTGCAGGATGACCACAGGATGACGTGCTTTGTCACGTCAAAGCATCTCAAAGGCTGATCTCAAAGTCTACATGTGGATACTGAAAAAGAATTGGTCACTCACTTCACGACTGTTTTGCGTTTGATATAGCGCCTCATCATGTCTTCCGAGACATCGCAGGATATACTGTGAAGTGGATCGACTGTGTATCTTGTGGGCGGAACACAGAGCTGGGGGAAGGCAGAGCCGGTCATGGCACAGATGTGGGGTAGAAAGGATAGTTGAGGGTCAAACAAGACGCCAAGGTTCCAGACTGGTTCAGTGAGGTGGAGTGTGCATCCTTGAATGGTGATTCTATCAGTGCCTGAGGTGTGGAGGCGCTGATGGGAGCCAATGAAGAGGGCCTCGGTCTTGTTGACGTTCAGCTGAAGAAAGTTAGCTCTCATCTAGGACTTGATGTCTGACAGCGGTGGTCCTGGAGACAAGGGTGGAGGCAGAGAGATAAGAGTTGGGTGTCATCCACATACATGTGGAAGTAATTGTGTAATGGTAAACAGGATGATCGCAAGCTTGATTTCGATGCAGCTGATGGGGTGGATAGGTTGCTATTGCACAAAATGTCAAAGGCAGCAAACTGTGCACTTGTTCATTGGAGTCAAAATGTCCCTCAACCTCACCAAAAGTCAACGCAAGCTTCATTAATCTTTAACCATCATGAGAGCGGTCAAGGCTTCAGCTCCGAGTGCCATTATGTCATCGAGAAACTAAGCCGAAAAAAACTATTCAAAACCTCAAAACAAAAGTGAGCAGCGGCGAAAACAGAAGCGTCTGGGAACACTCGGCAGGTCAGGCCGCGTTCTGCGGGGAGAGAGAAGAAAGTGTGAGTTAACGTTTCAGGTCGGTGACCTCTCGTCAGGGCAGATCAGGTAAAGTTTAGGCAATATTCTATTTTTTGCTCCTCGGTAAAAGTAAAAACATTACATGCAGTTGGCATGCGTGTTGGCTTCATTCCCTGGAGTGCTGTCATTGTTTGCCTATGAGAGACAAAGCAGACACACAAACACAGACACACACACACACACGCGCGCGGTAAAGGAACTTAACTTACCAGCCGTCTCCTTTTGACCCACCACATACAACACTTATGCACCAGGTTTGGCACGGGAAGGCACTTGCCTGGAATTCCTCAGTCGATCAATACTTTTATCTCGCGTTACCTGAGCGCTGTGACAGCACGGCTTCGTTTCAGCTGGGGGGAAAGAGCGCGACTTGCATCGAATCAGTCAACGAGAGAGAGAGAGCGAGAGAGAGACAGAGAGAGCCTCACTATAAATGAAGTGAATGGACAAGAGCAGTGCCTGACAATGTTTCATGCCCTTCCTTCTAACAAGAACAGCAGCCATCGTTAATTGACACTGTAAGGCTTTTTTTTTTGGGTGGGTGTGTGGTTCTCTCATCTTGTGAAAGGGGGAAACCTCCTCGAGACGATGAACCAAAGGATGATTCTGACTCTCTCCTGTTTTCTTTACTCAGGAGTCATCAGGGCTGTCACCTTAGCGTTGGCCAAAGAGCCAAAGCACATTTCGAGAAGCTTGTCCGTCTCTGAGACGCGGAGAGAAGATGAGATCTTCCTTGAGATGGCCAAGAGATATATCCTGCAGAGATTGGACATGAAGGACCGCCCGGACACCAGCAATGTGACTCTCAAGTCAGCACAAGTGTCCGTCCTGAGGAGGCTTCACACTGGGACCCTTTTGAGCGATGGCTCTGTCGATGATTTTAGCTCTGAATTAAGAACTGAGCGCAGCCAAGGCTCCAGGGAACACACTCACCAAATCATCACCTTTGCCAAATCAGGTTTGTCCCAGCAACTCTCTCTCTCGCTCTCTCTACTTAATAATAATAATAAATAATAATAATCCTCGCATTCGATACAGCGCCTTATCACGTCTTCGCGACGCCTCAAAGTGTTTCACAGGATACACCGTAAAGTGATTGATCATATAATTTGCGGGCGAAACACGGCAGCCAATATCGCACAGCAGCGTCCCTAAAACAGAGAGAAAAGATACACAAGTAATAATACTTGCATCGAAAGCGTCCACTTACAGTTCCAGAATCCCCCAAAAATGTGTTTTCTATTTTAACTCCGGGAGCAATATGTCAGTTAAATCAACTCTGGTTTCACAATTGATCAATTCAGAAATTGATCAATTGCTGCCTTGCATTATATCCTTTTAAGTCCTGTGTATATTAAGATATATTATATTATGTCCTGTATATTTAAATATATATTATATCAGGTCCTGCATATTTTAATACACAGGGTGACCAACACGTCTCGATACCATTACAATGTCTAATAAGTCTCAAAGAAATGGTGATAATTATTAGTAATTATTACTAAAATAAATGGTATCATGACTTTTTGGTTACCCTGTACATATAGCTTCTATGCTTATACTAATAAAGGTGAAATGTCTGTTTGTCTGTCTGCCAATCGATGTAGAGACATGATTTATATCTCATCAGGAAGGTCTTGCATGGGGGAAATGAGGGAATGTCATGGGCATATTTTTTTGGAGGGGGATCTCCTATCGTTGAGGAGCTATAGAGTCTGTATGTCTGTCTAACCAATTGACATAGAGACATAATTTATACCTCATCGGACAGGTCTTTTAATCTTTAGTCTTTTAATCTCTCCAGTTTTATTTTAGGACTAACTTTGTGATGGGGGGTATCACTGAACTAACTGTAAAAATAATAAGAATAATAACGCTTGCATTTGATATCGGGCCCTATCACATCATTGAGCGTCTCAAAGCACCTCAACGAATACACTGCAAAGTGGAGTGACTGTATATTTTGTGGCTGAACCTGGTTTTTAATCGATTGGCTGATCGCTTTCGCTTTCTGGGGGTAATAATCCCTCCAAAATAAACAAATTGGTCACTCAATCCATGACTATTTGTGGACACAATTTGCCGTGTCAAAATGGCTGCCATGTTTTGCCCACAAAATACACAGTCAATTGACTTTACAGTATATTCTGTGAAGCGCTTTGAGACGTCTTGAACACGTGATAGGGCGCTATGACAAATGCAAGGATTATTATGATTATTATTATTATTCAGGGATACGGGGTAATTGGACTTGAGGTACAGATCAGCCATGATCTTAGAGAATGGCGAAACATGCTCAAGGGGCTGAATGGCCCCCTCCTACTCCTATTCCTATGTTCCTTATGTCTCAATGCCAATTCTCTCCTTGTTACCAGTTTGGGTTAGCCCGACGGAGACCAAACTGAGCTTCCTCTTATCGAACGAAGGCAATGAGGGGTCTTTAACGGTAGTCCAGCAGGCGGAGCTGTGGGTCCACTTCAAATCCTTCCCCCCCGAACCGTACCCCGGCCCCAGCCCAGGGAGGGACCAGCAGACGATCTCCCTGAAGATCTTCCTGAAACGACAAGGCGGTGTGAGCCGCACGCTCATCTGTGACAGACGCTTCGAGGTGAACGCCAACGCCTGGCACGCCTTTCCCGTGACGGACGTGGTGCAGGATTTCCTGGAGAAGCGGGAATACCTTCTGGACTTCGAGCTGGAATGCCGGGTGCGGGGTAACAACGGGAGCGTCGGTCCATTCGGCCTCGACGTGGACGACCAAGCCAAGCAGCCCTTCCTGGCGTCCCGTCTCCGCGTCTCCCAGCGCATCTCCCGTCTGCGGAAGAGGGGCATTGAGTGCGCGGAGAAGCTGAACCTGTGTTGCCGGAGGGAGTTCTACGTGGATTTCCGCGCCATCGGCTGGGACGATTGGATCGTGGTGCCCAAGGGCTACCACGCCAACCACTGCCTGGGCACCTGCCTGCCACACATGGCCGGTGCCCCCAGCGTGGCCTCTTCATACCACGCCACCGTCACCAACCTGTACAAGATCAACAACCTTCATCCCGTCCTGACACTGAACTCGTGCTGCGTTCCCACCAGGAGGAGCGGTCTTCCCATGCTCTACTTTGACGAGCAGCGACGTATCATCCGGAGGGACATTCCCGATATGGTCATCGATGAATGTGGCTGCGCTTGACCCGTCTGATCCCCCCCACCCCCAATCAGCGGTCGGGCTTTCAGCTTCTCTGCCCCCACCCTTTGGAACTCCATCCCACAATCCCTTCGCCTCGCTCCCTCTCTTGCCTCCTTCAAGGCACGACTCAAGACCCTTCTTTTCGACTGTGCCTTCAGCCGCCCTCCTACACCCTCTACCCTCCCTCGTTCCAATCCTGCCCGCCCCACACCCCCCCACGCTCGGGTCCTGATCCCTGACTGTTCAGCGCCTTGTGACATCCTCCCGACGTGAAAGGCGCATTCCAGATGTAATTTTGTTGTTGTTGTTATCATGTCTTCGAGACGTCTCGAAGGGCTTCACAGAATATACTGTCAAGTGTAGTGACTGTGCATTTTGTGCGCGAACTAGTTATGGCCTCTGATCATGGGACTGGAAGGGAAGAAAGTTAGCTGGGGAAGGAGGGAGTGGAGGAGAGGACCATAGGGGCTTGGGTGTGGATGGATTTATGGTATGCAAACACCATTTAGGTGAGCGAATAGCGAACCTGTGGAATAGGCTTCCGAGGGAGACGGCTGAACAGGAAATGTTGATTCCTTCAAACACAGATTCTTTCAGGAAATAACATGATGAGACTGTGGGACAGAGGGCGTTCGGGACATGTGTGCCAACGGCCGCCAGGAAGGTGGAAGGTGAACTGGACGGGCCTTGGGTTATTTTTCGTCCACCATTTCCTAGGCTGTTATGCGTGAGGAGGAGGAGCTCGATGTTGATCTGCTGGGAGCCAGTGGATCCAAGCGAGGACCGTGGTGATATGGGTGCAGAGCTCGATGCTGCCAAAGATATGGACTGACCAGACACCCAGTTCTTGTCCAGTTAACCCTCTGTCTGTTCAAAAGTTAAAGGGCAAAAAATGGAACTGACCAATCGAGCAAATTATTTTACTTTCGATGTGTGTGTGTCTACTGTATCCTCTGCACGTTATTTCTGTGTTGAGTTACTAAATAAAAAACGATCCCCACGTCTGAGTTAGTGCCTCACTGTTTCGATATATTAATAAAACGTTATTATTTTATGTTTGCTTACAAAAAAACGCCAGCCTGACTCAATCAGAGGTTCAAGCCCCCCATGTCAGGACTCAAATAATAATAATATTAATGGCAATTTGATAGAGCGCCACATCACGCCTTCGAGACGTCTCAAAGGGCTTCGCGGGATGTATTGCAAAGTAGATTGACAGTATGTTTTATGGGCGAAAGCGGCAGCCGATTGCGCACAGCGACGTCCCACGAGCGGTGACCAAATTATTATTATTATTATTATTTTTCTTTTGGGAGGGATTATTACCCTTGGAAAGCGATCCGTCAATTAACTAGCAACCGGGTTCCTACTTACTGCTGGGTAAACAGTGCCGTACGTGAGCGTGTGTGTCTGTGTGTGTGTGGAGTAAGGAAATTTGCCTGAGGTTTTGCCCCAAACCTGACCCGGTCGGGAATCGAACCCGGATTCCTCTTGCTTGTGAGGCAAGGGCTCTAACCACTAGACCACAGGACTCCACACTGAGGAGTGAGTGAGTGAGTGGGTGAGTGGGTGGGTGGAGTGGAGTGAGTGAGTGGAGTGAGTGGGTGGGTGGAGTGGAGTGAGTGAGTGAGTGAGTGAGTGGGTGGGTGGGTGGAGTGGAGTGAGTGAGTGGAGTGGGTGGGTGGGTGGGTGGAGTGGAGTGGAGTGAGTGAGTGAGTGAGTGAGTGGGTGGGTGGGTGGGTGGAGTGGAGTGAGTGAGTGAGTGAGTGGGTGGGTGGGTGGAGTGGAGTGGAGTGAGTGAGTGAGTGAGTGAGTGAGTGGGTGAGTGGGTGGGTGGGTGGGTGGAGTGGAGTGAGTGAGTGAGTGAGTGGGTGGGTGGGTGGGTGGGTGGAGTGGAGTGAGTGAGTGAGTGGAGTGAGTGGGTGGGTGGGTGGGTGGAGTGGAGTGAGTGAGTGGGTGGGTGGGTGGAGTGGAGTGAGTGAGTGAGTGAGTGAGTGGGTGGGTGGGTGGAGTGAGTGAGTGGGTGGGTGGGTGGAGTGGAGTGAGTGAGTGGGTGGGTGGAGTGGAGTGAGTGGGTGGGTGGGTGGGTGGAGTGGAGTGAGTGAGTGGAGTGGAGTGGAGTGAGTGGAGTGAGTGGGTGGGTGGGTGGGTGGTGGGGTGGAGTGGAGTGAGTGGGTGGGTGAGTGAGTGAGTGGGTGGGTGGGTGGGTGGGTGGAGTGGAGTGAGTGAGTGAGTGAGTGGGTGGGTGGGGTGGAGTGGAGTGAGTGAGTGAGTGAGTGAGTGGGTGGGTGGGTGGAGTGGAGTGAGTGAGTGAGTGAGTGAGTGAGTGGGTGGGTGGGTGGAGTGGAGTGAGTGAGTGAGTGGGTGAGTGAGTGAGTGGGTGGGTGGAGTGGAGTGAGTGAGTGAGTGAGTGGGTGGGTGGAGTGGAGTGAGTGAGTGAGTGAGTGGGTGGGTGGGTGGAGTGGAGTGAGTGAGTGAGTGAGTGAGTGAGTGAGTGAGTGGGTGGGTGGAGTGGAGTGGAGTGGAGTGAGTGAGTGAGTGGGTGAGTGAGTGAGTGAGTGGGTGGAGTGGAGTGGAGTGAGTGAGTGAGTGCCAGCTCACTCACAGCCCTGGGCAAAACTCTTGTGTTCCAACTGCAGCCGCAGACGGTCAATATCGGAGCCAAATGGTAAAGGTTCTGTTTTCCGAGTGCGAGAGAACATGTCCTGTCTGCGTTTACAAAGTGTCGATTGATAACGACAGAGGTCTACAGCCGGCCGGCCGACAGGGGCCACCGAGAAAAGTCACACAATGATTTGCCATCGGAGCTATTGGCAACAGGAAACAGCTCATTATTGCTCAAAAGCCAGGCTTTCTCGGGATAATCTTCAACCCACATCTCACCCCCCGGCCGGTGTTCAGGGAAAGGTTGGTGCCCACCGCCACGCCTGGACACCAATAAGAATCCATCGTTGGGACTGAATCTCTTTGTATTTTCCAATCGATTCCCCTATCGGCCGCTTACTTCACCTCTTAGTAATCCGTACATTTGGTTTAGCTCCTTTCGTGTCAGAAGGCCATCAAAAAAGCGCTTCACGGGATACACTGTAAAGTGCAGTGACTGTGTGTTTTGTGGGTGAACGCAACAACAACTTGCACTTATATAGCGCCCTCCAGGCAGGATAGCATCTCAGAGCACTTAATAGCGGCAGAGCTGGCCCCAAGCATGGTCGAAAAGGAAGGTTTTCAGGCGAGGGAAAGGGGGTAAGGCAGAGGGGTTGAGGAAGAATGTTCCACACTTTTGGGGCGTAGTGGCTGAAAGCACAACATTTAATGGGTGTGAGGGATGCGCAGGAGGCCGGAGCGGGTCGAGCGGAGGCACCGGGTGGTGGATTGGGGAGTGAGGAGGTCGAAGAGGGAGGGAGGTGTATTTGAACACGAATGTTCTAAGTACTTTAATCCAACTTAGTTCTAAGTAAATCCAATTTAAGCCAATTGCGCACAGCGGCGTCCCACAAACAGTCGAGGAATGAGTGACCAAATTCTTCTTTTTTTTTGAACGGATTGTTACTCCCGGAAAAGCGATCAGCCAATCGATTAACTACCCGGTTCCTACTTACTGCTGGGGAAACAGAGGCGGGTGTGTATGCGTGTGTGGAGCAATGAAAATTGCCTAAGGTTTCGCCCTGCGCTGCCCGGGAATCGAACCTGGGTCTTCTCACTTGCGAAGCGAGGCTCTAACCGAGGAACCCACAGTTTTCTGACTCAAGAGGCGAGAGTGCTATCAACCACAAACAACTTGCACTTGTATAGCGCCCTCCACACAGGGATAGCATCTCAGAGCGCTTGCTATGGATGGGAATATGCCGATGGGAAGAACAAGTGCCCTGTGTTCTAAACCTTCAGTGAATCTCCACATGACTTTGGACCAATCTGTGAGACACTCAACTCATCCAACCTTCAGAGAAGGATTATTATTATTTGTTCTTGGATATATTGCCTGTGGTTGACCTCTCTCAAGAGGCGATGAAATAAGTTGGGTCAAGTTTACGATAGCCCAGACACATGTCGGCTAGTCACAATGTGGAGTCCTGTAGCTCAGTGGTTAGAGCACTCGCTTTGCGAGCGAGAGACCTGAGTTCAATTCCAGGCAGAGGGCGAAACCTTGGGCAAGTTTCCTTACTCCACACAGAGCCTAATAATAATCCCTCCAAAACCAAAATAATAATAAATTGGTTATTTTCAATCTACGACTGTTTGTGGGACATTGCTGTGCGCAATTGGCTGCCGTGTTCGCCCACAAATATACAGTCAATTCACTTTACAGTGTGTTCTGTGAAGCGCTTTGGGACGTCCTCCCGACGTGAACAGCGCTATATCAAATGCAAGGATTATTATTATTATTATTATTTATTATGATAATGTCCCACTCAAGGGAACAAACCTCAATTGGCTGGATGGGCTCCACACCTTCAAGAGTGCTGTCCGTTCTCGCTGACCATAAAGATCCGCGTGGAGTTTAGAGCTCAGTTGGAAGAGAGACAAATGACTGAATTGCTTACACCAGCTATTTTTTCTGCACAATTGAGAAACCTCGGAATCGGGCCAAGCCCTCAGTCCAGGTCAGCACCAAGGCTGACGAGGGTGGAAATGAGGACAAAATACTTTCGTAGCAGAGTCCTGTAGCTCAGTGGTCCTCGCAAGCAAGAGGACCTGGGTTTGATTCCCGGGCAGGGCGAAAGTTTCCTTACACCACACGCCTCTGTTTAACCAGCACTAAGTAGGAACCCGGGTTGCTAGTCGACTCAATCCACGACTGTTTGTGGGGACGCTGCTGTGCGCAATTGGCTGCCGCGTTTCACCCACAAATTCATTTGACGGTGTATTCGGTGAAGCGCTTTGAGACATCTCGAATAACAAGTTCAATTCAGTTCTTCTAGTCTGTAGTCTGAGATCTAGATGATCCAACAATGTGGAAAGAACTGAACCAAAGGATCCGCCTTTAATTAAAAATGCGCTATTGTAATCACAATAACTTGCTCAATCGTGCGGAATGAAGATTCCTTTGCGAACAATGAGCATATTGATAGTCTTCCTGTATTGCTTGTGATGAATTGTCATTCGTATATAGGATTTATTGTCCAGAAGCTTTGAACAGCTTTGCTGGGATCGATTACACCCAACATACTTATGAATTCTTGGCTTCTTCTTCAAGGTAGCGATCAACATGATTTACATTCCCTCTCCCCACCCACCCACCCCACCCCACCCCACCCCACCTCCCCATTGTATGTATGGTGATTTGAATTCAGTAAAGTGATACAGTTGGATCGCCCCGAATTACATGGGGAGGAATTCTGGTTCGCAATACAAATTGAGACTTGGATCGGAGAGGAAGAAAAACCCAATGCGTTCAGCAAAAAATTCTCATACGCGAATATTTGATATTCCCAATCCGAAATATTCTGATCAGAGTCTTTCTATTCGGACGTGTTTCGCCCGTAACATATACCGTCAAATCACTTTACACTTCATTAGAATAATAATAATAATATAGCGCTTTTCACGCCTTCTAGACATCCCAAAGCGCTTCACAGAATATACTGTAAAATAATCCTTGCATTGGATACAGGGCCTCATCGCGTCTTCGAGACTTCTCGAAGCGCTTCACAGGATACACTGTGAAGTGTAGTGACTGTATGTCTTGTGGGCGAAACGCGGCAGCAGCGTCCCCCACAAACAGCCGTGGACTGAGTGACCAATTTCCTATTGTTTTTTTTTCTTGAGGGTTTATTATCAAGCGTGTGGAGTAAGGAGGCAAGGGAGGGAGCGAGGGGAAGGGATTGTGGGATGGAATTCCAAAGGGTGGGGGCAGAGAGGCTGAAGGCCCGGCCGCTGATGGTGTGGCGGGTCGGGCAGGAGACCTAGAGGAGGCCGGAGCCTGCCGAGCAGAGGGAGTGGACAGGTTGATAGGGGGTCAGCGGGTCAGAGATGTAGGAGGGGGCAAAGCCGTGGAGGGCCTTGAAAGTGAGGACGAGGATTTTGAACTCTATCCTCTGGGGGATGGGGAGCCAGTGGAGCCGGGCGAGGGTGGGGGGTGATGGGGTCAGGGAGCCTTGTGCGGGAGAGTTCCGGATGATCCGCAGCTTGTGGAGGGAAGAGTCGGGGAGGCCGACAAGGAGGGAGTTTTCCGTGGTTGAGCCTTGAGGTGACACACTCGTGTCCAGTATAGACACATATGTATGCACACGACAAACTGGCTCACAGATGGTGTAATGGATATACCTTGTTCTGAAATTGGACCCACATTGTACGAACTCCTGCCAAGGTTTGCTGTCTATTCTGTCGTCTGTATCTTGTCCAGTCCACGTTCGTGACAATAGCTCTCTCCAGCTTAAGCCCTTTGGCGCGTGTGATAACTGATTGAATCACTTCTGCACATACTTTAACTGTCTTACTTTTCATACACCCCAAAGTGAACCTACACTTGTACTTTGGCTGTCAACACTGACGTTTTATTACAGTAGTGACCTCCAAGCCTGGGCTCATGTACAAAGTCTAGAACCACTCAGTCTATCCTCGTTTGACCCTTCTGTTATGTGTCTCGTGGCAACGGCCCCCTGGAAAATAACGCTGAACAGATCTGCTCTCACCAGCCTTCTGCTTGTCCCTCGTCCCCTCTGTTCCACCAACGGCGGCTGTGCCTTCAGCCACTACGCCCCAAAATTCTTGCCCCCTCCCACCCCCCACCTCTGCCTCAACTTCAATCCCTCCGCCTCGACCCCCACCCCCGCACCCTCTTTGACGGTCTTCTGATCGGACCTGAAGACATTCTTTTCTGAAGCGCTTTGAGACGTGATTAGGCGTAATATCATACACAAGGATTATTATTATTATTCTTCAATTGTGCCTATAGTCCTCCCGACTTGGAAGCCACTGTGTAAATGCCATGTGTTGTTGTTGTTAAGTGCTTTGAGATGCTCCCACCTGCCATGAAGGTTCTCTATGAACGCAAGGTGTTGTTGTTGTCGTCGTGGCTGAACGTGATACAGGAGGTGCGAGCAGCGAAAGTCTTTGTCCACTGGAATCCTGCTGAGCATGTTCACAGCCGCCCCACCCTTTTTTGGCACAACACACAAACAGACACCTTCCCCACCCAGGGATAGTCTTTCCTAGAAGAGACAGAGAGAGAGAGAGACAGTGCTAACCATTGTACAACCATACAGTGCAGAAGGAGGCCATTCGGGGTCACACTGGCTCTCAGATCAAGCCGTCCATTCAATCCCACAGCCCTGCCCTGTCCCCACACCCCTTCAAGCCTCTATCCTTCATATACTCGTCTGCTTCCCATTCGAACCCCACAATGGACTCTGCCTCGACCACCTTACCCGTCAGGGCGTTCTACATCCCAACAACTCATCCTCCTCCGCTCCAGTGAAAGGAGCCGACAAAAAAATACACAGTCACTCCACTTTACAGGTAACCTGCGAAGGGCTTTCAGACGTCTCAACGACGTGATAAGACGCTGTGTCAAATGCGAGTATTATTATTATTGAGGTGACCAAACTTCTCCAGTTGTTGTTGTTGTTGTTGTTGCCTCCTGCCTGACTGTCAACTTCCTCTTCCTCCTCGTCCTCACTTGCCTCTGAGAGCGACGAGTTATCAGGAGTTCACCGCGTGCGTAAATGTCAAAACCTACAAGTGGACACTCGCGAAGGTGTACACGTGGGCACCAATATCCCGACATGTACATCAGGTACTCAACTGGCTGTTAAACTATCCTTACACGTCTATAACAGATGCCAACAGTTCCCCACATGCGCTCGGTCACTCCCTCCGCGGCTGTTTGTGGGACCTCCCCGTGCGCAAACTGACTGCCGCTTTTCACCCCACAAACGCGCAGTCACTCCACTTCGCAGTGTATCCTGTGGAAGCGCTTTGAGACGTCCTCTCGACGTGATAAGGCGCAGGGTCAAAAACTCAAGGATAATTCTGAGTGCATTATATACCTGACTCCCCGCGGCCGATGTTATTGGAAACACACGCCCTTTAGCATCACATCTGCACAACAATAACAATAATATAATAATAATAATCCTGGCATTTGACGCAGCGCCTTATCACCTCGTCGAGACGTCTCAAAGCGCTGCACAGGTAAAGTGTGCATTCTGTGGGCAAAACGAGGCAGCCAATTGCCGCACAGCGACGGCTCACAAACCGGTGGTGGACTGAGTGACCAAATTATTTATTATTTGGGCAGGAGCTTTGTGAGGGCGGGGCGGGGCGGGGTGGGGGGGGGGGGAGATTATTACTCCCGGAAAGAAAGTGATCCACCAATCTTTTAATCTTGTCATAGAAATGTACTAAAGTATGCAGGTCTGCTTAGTCCAAAAGCCTCCGAGCTATTTTGGTTACGTCATTTCTCTCCACATTGCTGTGTGGTTGTGTGTGGGTTGTGTTCACACTCTCCGTCTCTTGTGTCTCTGTATTCTTTCTCTCTCTCTCTCTCTCTCTCTGCTGCCTCTCTCCCTATGTGTGTGTGTGAGGTGTTTGTGTGTAGACTGTCCCGCAATATGTTTGTGCAGAATTCAGGCAAAGTCCAAGTGGAAGTTGTGTTAAATTTCCAGGAGTGATAGTTGTCTGGACTCTCAGATTTCTTCTCAATTGGTGACATTTACTCTCGTTTGCCTCCGATTACTCCCAGGTGGGTGAGAGCACATTAACGTCAGAGTTTGGTCTGCTTGTCTGCGTGTGTGTCTGTTTACGTGTCTGTCTGCGTCTCTGTCTGTCACCTACGCCTGAAATGGACATCCAGAATCTCGTCCAGGATCAGAGACGAGGCGCTGGGCTCCAACAAACTTTCAAAACTTTTAGGAAAACTTTGCAAAAGAAATCCTTGCGGGAAACTTAACTCTGCTCTGTCTGCACGTCTGTCACCGGCTGTTCCCGGGTCCAATTTCACTCCAATTTTGCAGAGGGGTGGGGGGTTGGGGGCAGGGACGGGGAGGTGGGAGGGGAAGGGGAGAGTGAGAGATCCCAAAGCGATGGCTGTTCTTCCAGGCAAGTTGTGGGCTCTCAGTATCTGTTGTCTTCTCTTCTCCTCTGGGACTGGGACCCCAAGTAGCGAGGCCGCTGGTACAGATGGTGGTGGAGGTGGGATGGGACCTGCCCTGTGCAACACTTGCCCCACCACTGGCCTAGACTTAGACGTGGCGGGAGAGAACCACCGTCTGTTGCTGGAAGTGACGAAGAGACATATCCTCAGTCGGCTCCACATGAAGAACAGACCCAATGTCACCAGCCCCATCCCTCGGTCAGCTCTCATGACAGTCCTCAGGAAATTACATGCAGGCAGAGTGTCCCAAAACGGCTCGGTGGAGATTGTCCATCTACAACAGAGCTCCAGAGAGGATCAGAGCTTTCAAATCATCAGCTTCCCTGAAGCAGGTAAATATCCGGGGCTTTTTTTTTGTTGCTGTTGTTATTGTGGATTAATTAACCTTTTATTTTAATAATAATAATAGTAGTAATAATAATCCTTGTCTGGCTGTCCTGGTTAATATTCAGGTTCATTGATAATTACCTAATTCGTCCTGTAGCGTTTTGGTTAGCGCGCTCGAAAGCGAGAGGACCCGGGTTCAATTCCCGGGTCAGGACGAAACCTTAGGCAAGTTTCCTTACACACACACACACTCCTCTGTTTACCGCGCAGTAAGCAGCAACCCGGTTGCTAGTAGATCAACGGATCACTTTTCAGGGGAAATAATCCCTTAAAAGAAACTCTAGAAAAAATAATAAGTCACTCAACCCACGACTGTTTGTGGGACACATTGCCTCATTTCACCTACGAAATATATAGTCAATTATTCACTTTACAATATATTTTGTGAAGTGCTTTGAGACATCTCAACGAGGTGATAAGGTGCTTCTATAAAATGCAACGATTATTATACAACTGCCAATCGATTAACAACCACGTAACTCCATACTAGGTGAACAGAGACGTGTGTGGGTATGTGGAGTAATGAAATTTGCCTTAGGTTTCGTCCTGACCCGCCCGGGATTCGAACATCTCTCTCGCGAAGCGAGTGCTCTAACTTCATGGCTGTTTGTGGGATGTTTGCGGTTGGCAAATTGGCTGCCAGGTTCACCTACAAATGAATACACTTACACTTTATATGAAGCACTGTCACTGGGGGCAGGGAATCGTTCCCCTCAGCTCCTGTTAACCCCGCAGCCAAAGCCCTTACTAACTAACTAACCAACTAACTAACCAACTAACTAACTAACTAACTAACTAGTGGGGAGGGTCGTCCTCGCTGGACAAGCAGCGGGAAAGCTTGGCCAGACAGCGCTCCCTCTCTCTCTCTTTCTCTCTCAATGGCCGAGATCTGTGTGGGTTTAGCCGGTTAGACTCCAGCAGTTACCCCCCAACGCCCACTCTGGACTACCCCCCAAGCCTTGGCTCTCGCCAACCTGCGCCTAATACTCTCCGGAATTAGGTAAGCAGAGGGGCGTCCCTCCAGGGAGAAAGAGCGAGAGCGCGAGAAAGAGAGAGAGAGAGAGAGAGAGAGCGCATTCTATTCCAACAATCTGTCTCTGGGATTTCCGTGTGTAGGCGGGAGGTGGAGAATTCTCGGTTTGGTTTGGAGACTCTTAAGCAAAGGTTTCCACATACAGAAAGTTGCTGTATCAGACAAAAGGATAATTATTATTACCAATTTTTTAAAACGGCTTTATCCGGGGGTAATAATCCCTTCGAAATAAAAAAAAATTGAAATAAGAGTTTGGTCACTCAATCCACTGCTGTGCGCAATTGGCTGCCGAGTTTCGCCCACAAAGTCATTACACTTTACAGTATGTATCCCGTGAAGCGCTTTGAGGTGTCTCGAGGGCGTGATATCAAATGCGAGGATTATTAATATTATTATTATTAGTAGTATCATTATTCGCTTATGCTCTGGGTTCTGGTTTGGCTTTGCAGAAACTACAGGTCCGGGCAAAGCCAAACTGCGCTTCCAATTCCTACACGAAGCAGATCAGAACACGGTGACTCTGATTCACCAAGCCAACCTGTGGCTCTACGTCAAACTCTTCCCTCAAGCCCACTTCGACCGGAGGAGCCAGAGGAGGACGGTCAAGGTGTTTGTCAAGAGCCAAGGGGCTTCGAGTCTCGCCTTGGTCAACGGGGTCAGCATTTATCGGGGCGGTTGGCACATGTTTCCGGTGACGCAGGAAGTGCAGAATTCCTTCGACGGGAGAGTCAGGACTTTGACCTTTGACGTTGAGTGCGAGGGTTGTGGCAATCTGAGCGCCACTCCCGGGCTCCTCAATTTCCGAGACGATTCTCACCAGCCCTTCCTCGTGGCCCGGACCAGGGTCAGGGAGGGCAGGCACCGGATCCACAAGCGAGGCATCGAGTGCAACGCCAACACCAGCCTGTGTTGCCGCAAGGAATTCTACTTGGATTTCCGCGTCATCGGCTGGGACGACTGGATCATTGCGCCCGTGGGTTATTACGGCAATTACTGCGTGGGCTCCTGCCCCTCGCACATGGCAGGGGCTCCTGGCACTGCATCTTCCTTCCACACCGCCGTCTTCAACCTCTACAAGGTCAACGGAGACAGCTCGGTGTCCAACCTCCATTCCTGCTGCATCCCGACCCGCCTCAATGGCCTGTCCATGCTGTACTTTGACGGGAAGCAGAACATCGTGAAGAGAGACATTCCCGATATGGTGGTGGAGGAATGCGGGTGCACTTAACCCCCCCCCCCCCCACCCACCCATGGCTCTTGCTCATCAAACCCACCTCCCCGCCTCCCACACACGCGCACGCACAGACACACGCACCAACACACGCGCTCGCTCACAACACGCGCACACAGGCAAAAGCACATACGCTCGCACTCGTGAAACACACACACACGCTCGCACACACACACCCACACACAGGGCACCGAATGGGCAGCAGCTCCGATTGCCTGAGTGGCCAACTCGCGAGGAACGGCCCCGGGAATTTCTCCCCAAAGGACGGCGGGAAAAAGTAAGGCACAAAAATGCCGAGAAAAGAGGAAAGAGAAAAAAGAAACAAAGCGATGGATGGATCTTTCCACGACTCGACCTCACATTTTTTTTTCTCGGTGGATCTTGCGACTTGCACTTTGCCGATTGAACCCGTTGCCGAAGCCTGGCTCCCGGCACTCGGTTCGATTTTATTTGGTGAACGAATAGGGACGGATGCTACTTTTCCAGTGTGCGGAGGAGTTGGCCGGCTGTAAAGCGGTCGTAGTCTGTCTCTAGTATTGTTTCCACAACAACAACTTGCATTTTACACAGCGCCCCTTTTCACATGGGGTAGCTGGACGCTGGCGGAGTCTGACCCCGAGCCGAGGGGGAGCGGGAGGGAGGGAGAGGTGACCGTACGCACAATCCCAAAATAATGCAGACAGTGGGTGGTGGAGCGGAGGGTAAGCGAATCGGAGAGATAAGTAGAGTTTCCAAACTCTGCTTTGCTTCTCTTCAGTGTGGAGTGTTCCTTACATGGGGATCGATCCAAGGAATTCAGTAAACTCCTGATCACAGCAAAACGGCTGACTCCTGGGTGACTGGGAAACTCCACTGGGATACTTAGGAACGCAGGAGCAGGAGGAGGCCATTCAGTCCCTCAAGCCGGTTCCGCCATTCTATTAGATCGTGGCTGATCTGTACCTCAACTCCATTTACCCGCCTTTGCCCTATGTGCGAGAGCTGTGGTGATCTTCACTACCACCATAGGTCTTCTTCACAGGCAGTGGGAAAGCCGTTCAGACATCCCAAAGCACTTCACAGAATATACTGTAAAGCGTAGTGACTGTATATTTTGCGGGCGAAACGCGGCAGCCAATTTACACAGCAGCGGCCCCACAAACACTCGTGGATTGAGTGACCAAATTATTATTTATTTGTTAGGTTTTTTTTTTGAAGGGATTATTACCCGGCGGAAAGCGATCCGCCAATCGACTAACAACCGGGTTCCTACTTATTGCCGGGTAAACAGAGGCGCGCGCGCGTGTGCGTGTGTGTATGTGGGGTAAGGAAAACTTGCCTAAGGTTTCGCCCCGACCTGACCCGCCCGGGGAATTGAACCCGGTCCTCTCCTTGCGAGGCGAGGGCTCTCACCCACTACTCTACAGGACTCCACACCTTTTAAAGGGGTGTGTGTTTGTTCGAAGAGACTACTTTAGTCGATGCATATTTCCTGTTCGGTTCACATACAGAACGATCTTAAATTACTTTTGCCGGTTCAGTCCTGATCAGGACGAATCTTGTTCAAGGTCAATGACGTCAGTGTTTATTCAGGGTTTGTTTGGCTTTGGGAAAATGATTAGAAAGCGAGAGAGAGAGAGAGAGAGAGAGAGACAGAGCTCTAGACAGAAAGAGAGAGAAATAAAGATAATCCAAAGCATATTCGTGTTTGTTGTCCATCCACTACTGTTGTCTTTGGAACTCCACCATGTGAGGCAAAAAGTCTCGCTCGCTTAATATTTCACTCGTGATGTTGGAGACTTAAAAGTCGCCAGTTTATGGCATCGGGAACCGTAGAAATTCGTAGCGCAGAAGGAGGCAGTTCGACCTCCTTTCTTTCAGAGCAATCCTTTCAGTCCCATTTCCCTGGCATTTGACCCGGCGCCTTATCACGACGTCGAGACGCCTCAAAGCGCTTCACGGGATGCGCTGCAAAGTGAATCGACTGTTTATTTTGTGGGCGAAACGCTCACAGCGGCGTCCGCACAAACAGCCGTGGATTGAATGACCAAATCATTAGTTATTGGTGCGGGGGTGGGGGGGGGTATCATTACCCCCTGGAAAACGATCCGCCGATCGACTAACCAACCAAGTTCCGACTTACTGCTGGGCAAACTTGCTTGGACTGAAGGGATTGTTCTTAAAGGAGCCGAATGGCCTCCGTCTGTGCTGTAAATTTCCACGTAGCGAGCACTCTAACCACTACCCTACGGGACTCCACATACGACCCTCTTGACCAGACAGGACTTCCGATCAACCCTTAACCTGCTCTGTTCCTGTAGAACAGGTCCTAGTTCCTCAAGACCCCTCTCACGTTCAAGGCGAGACTTGAGTTAGTGTTGCAAGATCCCCTCGAATAAAGAGTTTGACCTGTGCTTATTTTTTTTAAAAAGAACGTGTGTTTTTTTTCCCTGTAATATTTAAGAAAAAACATATCAGTGGGGAGGAGGGAAAAAAATGTGCCAAATCTATACTGTATATTATGAGCTTGGAATCAGCGTCCATTTGTCTTGGTAGTGTAAATAAATAAGCAATGTCGTCAAATGTTGACGACCTCCCTCTTGTTTTCTGACGTCCTTCATTAAAACGTACCTATTAAAAACCAGAAGTGTACGGCAGAGGTTTAAGTGCTCTCTCTTTCTTTGCTTTCTTCGCTAATGTTAAATTGGGTGGATGTTAAAGATCCTGTAGCGCTATTTGAAGAGAGAAGGGAACTCTTCACTCTCTCTCTCTCTCTCGGTGTCCTGACTGACCATCCCCCCAAAATAAAATCGCGGTGTGCAAATTGGCTGCCCTGTTCGCCTACACAATACACAGTCACTACATTGCACAGTAAACCTTGCGAGCCCAAGTCCTGATAGGGTGGTCTGGGGTATCTGCAGTACTCCAGGGCACTGCTGATGACAGCACAGCCCAACCCTAGGGTGGTCCTAGCTGGTCAAGCAGCGGCAAAGCTTGCCAGACGGCGCTCTCCATGGCAAGGTACGTGGTTTTAGCCGGTCGGACTCCAGCCGGGTGGTCTGACACACGCGGAAACCCATCAGAGTATAGCAGCCTCATTATAAGGCAGGTTAGAACTTTATGGGTCCCCAATCACCCCGTTATAAAAGGGCATCGCTATGTTTTGTGCGGACGCTTTAAAAAACACACACAGCGACAGCGACCTTCAGTCTTGCCCTTTACTCGTTTGGCTTCCAAGATGGGTATTAATAATAATAATAATAATCCTTGCATTTGATACAGCGCCTCATCACGTCGTCGAGACGGATCGAAGTGCTTCGCGGGGTATACTGTAAAGTGTAGTGACTGTATACTTTGTGGGGGAAATCGCAAACAGCCGTGGGTCGAAGTGACCACAAAACAGAGGGGAGACAGAGGAGAAGGAGAGACAGCCTCGGAGACGTCTCAAAGCGCTTCGCAGGATCAGTTGTAAGCTGCCAGTCAATCGCACGCAATCAGCAGCGTCCCACAAACAGTCGTGGATTGGGAGATTATGAGCCCCAGAAAGCGATCCGCCAATTGACTAACGTGGGGGCTCCTACTTCCTGCTGGTAAACAGAGGCTTGTGTGTGTGTGTGTGTGTGTGTGCGCGCGGAGTAAGGAAACTTGTCTCAGGTTTCGCCCCGACCCGCCCGGGAATTGAATCCAGGTCCTTTTGCCTGGGAGGCGAGCACTCCTGATGCTAAAATCCCACGGCGCTATTCAAAACGACGCTATCCCCTCTCTCTCTCTCTCTCTCCCTCCCTCCCTCTCTCTCTCTCTGTGTCTGGACCGGCCGATCCCCCGGATAAAATCTGCCGCTCACTCGACGGCTGTTCGTGACAGCTCGCTGCAGTGCAAATTGGCCGCCCCCGTGTTTCCGCCCACGAAACGCACAGTCACCTCTCGACCCGGTGATCGGATGCTGTGTCGGTGTCGAACGGGTCTTTTGTTTTTGACCTGTCCCGTCCGTCCTGGGTGGGAACCCGTCCCAGCGCGCAGAACGGCCACGAGATGGCGTCGCTTACGTTGGTGTTCCAGGGATGGTGCCCTGGAAGTCGCAGCGCTGCATCCCGGCCCCTCGGAGACGTCTCAAAGCGCTTCGCAGGACGCGCTGTGTCGCGTTGTGTAGCGTAGTGTAGTGGTAGCGGGAGCGTATCCCGGGCAGCCCGATTGCGCCCAGCGACGTCCCCGCAAACGGAACGCCGATTGACTGGACACTGTGCCCTCGCAGCCTATCCCCCCGAGGCGCTTTGAGACGCTTCGAAGGCGCTGCGTCAAGTGCGAGGATTATCAGCGCTGTAAAGTGCAGTGACTGTTAATATTTTGCGGGTGAAACGGGACAGAAAATTGCGCACAACTGATACGACTTGTCCCGTGGCTCCCGCTCACACACAAAAAAAAACCTCTAAAATGCTTTGGAATATTTGAGTCGATGTGCGCTCTCTCTCTCGCTCTCTCTCTCTCTCTCTCTCACACACCACGCATCGTCCCTGAGATGGATTGGACCTCTCTGGGCTTCGTTGGCAAGAAGCTCGTGATCACGAGAATGAGACTTTAGATAAAGGTTTAGATAAAGTGGACCCTTCGGGTCATTTGATTGTATCTTCCCCTGAATACGAAGGTCAATTGTCTTCTCATCAGCCACAACAACACAATGACATCTGTATCGCGCCTTTCGCATCTCGAGGACGTCCCGAGGCACTGACCGTCAACTTCTTTCTCAGAAATCCGACCTCTATCATCTCTTTGTGGAGTACCCCGTGGCTCAGGGGGTTAGACCCCTCGCCTCACACCCCACAGCCCCTGTAGCTCAGGGGTTAGACCCCTCGCCTCACACCCCACAGCCCCTGTAGCTCAGGGGTTAGACCCCTCGCCTCACACACACACAGCCCCTGTAGCTCAGGGTTAGACCCCTCGCCTCACACCCCACAGCCCCTGTAGCTCAGGGGTTAGACCCCTCGCCTCACACCCCACAGCCCCTGTAGCTCAGGGGTTAGACTCCTCCACTCGCAACCCACACCCCCTGTAGCTCAGGGGTTAGACCCCTCACCCCGCAAGCCACAGCCCCTGTAGCTCAGGGGTTAGACCCCTCGCCTCACAACCCACAGCCCCTGTAGCTCAGGGGTTAGACCCCTCGCCTCGCAAGCCAGAGGATCCGGGTTCGATTCCCGGGAGGATCAGGTCAGGGCGAAACCTTAGGCAAGTTTCCTTACTCCACACAGAGCCTAATAATAATCCCTCCAAAACCCAAAACAATAATAAAGTGGTCATTTTCAATCCCCGACTGTTTGTGGGACATTGCTGTGCGCAATTCGCCCACAAATATACAGTCAATTCACTTTACAGTGTGTTCTGTGAAGCGCTTTGGGACGTCCTCCCGACGTGAAAAGCGCTATATCAAATGCAAGGATTATTATTATTATTGTTGTTGTTGTTGTTGTGCCCCTCTTTAACGGGGACGGTGAACAGCTTTGAGGCTCGAGGGCCCAAAGTCAACCGCGCAAAAGGGGGACGTTTGCTTGTGTTTCAGGATAGAGGGATGGAATTCCAGGCCAGGATTTGGGAGTAACTGAGCGCATTGAGAAGCGGTCGGGTCTCTCTTGGGCTTTCCTACATCACAGCTCAAGGGATGAGACCACAGATGGAGATTGGCTTCAATCAAAAACTAAATTGCTCTCCCAACTATTTGAGAACTTTGCTGTAACTTTTTTTTTCTCGAGAGAGAGAGAGAGAGAGAGAAAGAAGAGAGAGAAAGCCCCCCAAAAAAATATTCTTCAGCAGAAGACAACTTTTTTTTTCTGGGAGGAGGGGAGGTAAAAAAAAAAGTTTTTTTTTGGCGGTGGTGGGGTGGGGTGGGGGGTGGGTGGCGGCTGGTGGCGGAGGAGGTGGGGGGGGGGGGATTTAAAAGCGAGAAGCAGCCAAAAGTTTTGGGGGAAAGTATGCAGCAAATCAAACCCTTTAACTTCCGACTTCAGGGTGGTCTGAACTCCCAGACTGAGAATGGAATATGTATAGCAGGAGGAATTAATGACTTGCTCTGAACACGACTTTTTTTACATAGAGATATATATATATACATAGACGTATATAATCCACATATATATAATGCGTCTTGGGGTTTTCTCTGGGAAGAAAAGGTGGTGGGGGGGAAAAAAAGAACTTTCGTTTCGTCAAATAAAAGGGAAGAGTGTGGGTTGTGCGTTGCGGATGGGAGCAAAGAAGAACGACTTTTGACCAACTTTCAATGAAGATTTTTTCCCCCCCCTCTTTCTTGAGGGAAGGGTGGATTTTTTTCTAATCTCTGGTCAAGACGAGACCTTTTTTTTTCCCCTCGGGGTGTCTGGATTTTGCTTTCATGTGCCTCCAAGTCATATTTTGAGAGAGAGAATTCAAATTGGGATTTTATTGCTTCAATCAACTGAGTCTTAATTGCATCTTCCCCCTCCCCCAGGTATTTATTTATTGATTAATTTATTTTTCTCTCCCTCTTCTCTTCCCCATTGCCTTTAAATTTGTGTTCCTTCAAACTCAATCGCCGCAACGTTACATAGATATATGTTTTACTTTGTAATGTAAATGTTTTTCTTTAAAAAGAAGTTAAACATAAACGATCGACTCTCATCTCTTAACAGTTTCTGAAGCTTTTTAAAAAAGTTACAAAGTCTTTTTTTTAAAAATTGCACCCAGTGTTTTTCATGCTATGATTTAATTTATTCTCTAATACAAATGCTCGGTTTCTTAACAGAGATGTACTCAAAAGCAAGTTATTATTTATTTTTAAAAAAATACAAAATAATGGTGTTTTTTTAATGTGTGGATTAAGTGCAACACCACAAATTTTGTTGGAAAGTGTGTGGGTTCGGGTGGGAGGGAATATTTGGGTTCCAAATCTTTATTTTTTTAAACAAAAAATGCCCCTATTTTGTGTTAAAATATTTTGCAAGCGGAATGCCAAGACTAGTCGTGTTTCAGACCGTTCACTCAATTCTCTCTCGGGGCTTGATTTTTTTGGTTCCAAGTCGGGGATCAGAGAGAAAGAAAGATTCTCTGTGTGAAATAAGAAAGGCTTTCAAAGGCTGGAGAGGGAAGAATTTAATTAATGATACTAATAAAAATAATCCTTGCACTTAATATAGCGCCTTATTGAGACGTCTCAAAGGGCCGCACAGAATACACTGTAAAGTGGATTCTGTGTCGTCTGTAAAGTGCTTCGAGACGTCTCGAAGACGTGATAAGGCGCTACATCAAATGCAAGGATTATTGTTATAATTGACTGCATATTTTGTGGGTGAAATTTGTTGGGATTACTGTCGGTGTGCGTTAGGATTTATCCTTTTTTAAGATTGCTGTAATGTGTGTCTTTCGAAGGTTGGGCGATTTGGTTTGTGGTTTGTGCTGCTGCGTTTGCATTGCATTGTGAAGTTTAATTTTACGGTGACTTTGAGGGAGAGAGCGCGCGCGAGAGAGAGAGAGAGAGAGAGAGAGAGAGAGAGCGAGAGAGACCAAGATGGAGAAGGGAGACTGAAAGCAGAGGAAAATCTTATTTATGTTTTTTGTTGGGGCTCCGAAATTGAAGAGGTTTTAAAACTGATTCCCCGACGAGAACATAAGAATTCTCCAGACATAAGAAGACCAAAGTCCATCCAATTGGCCTTCCATCCTCCGGACAAACACTTGACATCTCCTGTCCCTAAACTATACGCTATATCCCCCAGATATTATTATATTATTACACACACACACACACATACGCACACCATTTGATTTTTTTTTTGGGGGGGGGAGAGTTTGGGTTTTAAAAAGTAACTTTTGCAACTTTTTTTTCTATATTATATATATATTATATATATTTTAAAAATTTCAAAGTTCTTTTCCGCGGCTTCTTGGTTTGCGGTGAAGTTAACGGAAAGTAAGGGGAGAGAGAGAGAGAGTGGGGTGGGGTGGGGCGGGGGGGGGAGTGGGGGGGCGGTGGGGGGGTGAGGACGGTGGGGTTGGGTTAGGGAGAGTGTGGGTGGGGGGGAGAGGGGGACAGGGAGGGTTGGATTTTTTTTAACTGCGTATTAATTCTGATTATTCGCCAATTTTGCACGTTCACTTCAAGGGGTGGGTGGTGTGGGGGTGTGGGGGGGGGGGTGTGGGGGGAGGGATTAGGACATGAAATAAATGGAAATAGCGCTGAATTATAAATTCTACCTCTTCCCCCCCATGAGAACATAAGAATTTGTTATGCAAAATCTGTTTGCCTTCCACCAACCCGGCAGACACTTGACATTTCTTGTCCCAAACAATATATTTTTTCCCCTCCTCTCCCACCAACCTCACCCCCACCCCAGAGAGATTTTTTTCCCTCTCCTGTCCCTCTCTCTCTCACTCCCAACCCTCGCCCAACCCCACCCCACCCCACCCCCCCCTCCCGCCCACCCACACACACACACACACGTCTACACCTACCTACACACCCACACAGTTGCGGGGGGGGGGGGGGGGGAGAGAGAGAGAGAGAGAGAGAGAGATCCGCCAAATGACTGATAATCAATTAGATTTCTTTGAAAAAGAACCTTGTGGTTTGGTTGGGAATCAACTGTTTGGGTGGTAGGAAAGGCGGGACTGTGTGTGTGTGTGTGTCGAGTGTAGAGGAGGAGAGGTTGAATTATTGCTCACCATTTAAAGCAAATATATATATATATATATAATATATATATATGTATTTAGCCAAATGTTATGCCTGGGTATGCCTGACTGACATTAACTGGCTCTCGTGTTTGGCCCACACGACACACGCTCGATTCACTTTTGAGATGTCGCGAGTCCCTGATAAGATGCCGTGTCAAAAGCAAGGATTATTATTATTATTATTATTATTATTATTACATTAAGGGGAAAAAATGTCGTAGCCCCAAGGAAATATTTTATTTGGGACATTGTTTGCACGTCGCCAAGGCCTCCGGGCAACAACAACAAAAAAATGAAATGCTAAATCTTTACATCATATACTGTATATACGAACAATAAATAATATTTTTGGTAAATGTTAACAATTTGCATTTGATATAGCGCCTTATCATGGAACTGTGTGACGGGCGCAGCGTAAATGCGAGTTGTTGTTGTCGTCGTAATCACCTCAGGCTTCAGAGGATTCACTGCCGAGTGTAGTGACTTGCGTGTGTGTTTTGTGCTGCATTGAATTATTCGGTCAAATTAAATCCCCTTTGAAACACCTCCGTTAAGACAGCCCGTAGCGGACTGGAAAGAGGAGAGGGTCAATATACACAGGCTACGCTAACCATTCCCTGGTAATATGGCTGTACTCTCCTCTCCCGTCAACCTCAGGAATGATGTTAAACTTTATTCCCCCCTCCGCCCCGTCTCCGCCTCCGCATAATGTCAGGCACACTCACTCTAAGGTCAACAGTCACCACAATGCAGAATGTTAAGTGTCGATCAGTACTTTTGTGATGTGGTTTGGTTTCAAAGCTCTTACCTCCCACCGTCTCCTCCTCCACAACCCCCCCCCACTGACAGTGATGTGCCATCTCTAAACGAGTGCTTTCTTACGTAACTCACTGTCTCGAACGGTTCTTCCCAGTGTGTGTTATTCTGCGCCTGTGTGTGTTATTCTCCAACCGCGTGTGTTATTCTGTGTCTGTGAGTGTTTTTCTGTGTGTGTGTTCCTCTGTATATGTGACTGTTTGTGTGCGACTGAGCGTGTGTGTGTGTGTGTGTGTTATCACATGTGTGTTATTCTCTGGATGTATGACTGTGTGTGTGTGTATAAAAAATCTGGAAATAAATAACAAAAATTGTAACTGATTTAGACCTTTGGCTGCTAATAATTAATCATCCTTATTAATGTTATTACTAATAACAACAACAATAATAGTAATAGTAATAATAATATTAATCCCAGGCAGACATTTGACATAGCGCCTTTCACATCATGGAAGCCGTCTCAATACAAAATCCAATGTAAACGTTACAGTTGTATAGTGCCTTTCGCGTCAAGAGAGCGTCTCAAAGTCTCGAAGCGCTTCGCAGGTAAGGGGCAGTGACTGTGTGTTCTGCAGGTGAACGCGGCAGGCGATTTGCGCCCCCCCCCCCACCCCCCCCTCCCCGCACAAAACCGGGTTAATTCCACGTCAGTTTCTAAGCCCTCTGTGTTATTGCGAGGAACACCCGACTTGTACACACATGTCAGAAACGCTTCATCACGTTCCTCTACAGGGAAACTATTTCCTCTAGAGGGTGGGTGGGGGGGGGTGGGGGGTGTGGGGTGCGGGGGCATCGTCTTAAAATTAGAGCTCTCTGGGACGTTCAGGAGTGAAATCAGGAACCATTGGTTTTCACACTCCCCCCCCCCCCCCCCCCGAGAGGCTGGGGATTATGTCTGGATCCACTCATATTTCCAAGACCGAGGTGGAATAATAATAATAATAATAATAATAACTTCACATTTGATACAGCGCCTCATCACGTCGTCGAGACGTCTCAAAACGCCTCACAGGTTACACCGTAAAGTGGAGTGACTGGAGTGAATTTGTGGGCACTGTGTGGGGTAGACGTTTGTCAGTCGGGGGGGAGCCGAGGGATACGGGGCAAAGGCGGGTAATTGGAGATGCGGTACAGCTCAGCCGTGATCTAATAGAATGGCGGAACAGGCTCGAGGGGCTGAATGGCCTCCTCCTGTTCCTAGGTTCCTACAATCGCAAGACACAACACACACACACACACACAGACCCAACGAAAACTCCCGAAATTGCCGAAAAGTGTATATTTTCTCGTTCTATTTTCAGCCCCCCCCCCCCCGTCTCCGACTTCCTTATAACTTGACACTGGAATGTTCTTGTTACTAAATACGCTCTCCCGACAGTCTGCCTGCCGGCCTCTGGGAAAAGTCTGGGAGCACTTTTGCTGGGAGAGTTTACATATAACTTTGCAGATCATCTGTGTCTCGGTCTGGCTCAGTCTCGGTCGCCCTCTCGTCTCTCGAGCCAGAAGATTGTGAATTCAAGCTGCGTTGTCACAGGCACCGTTCTTCGGATGAGACGTTAAGTTAATCCTCACTCCTCCACACCCCCCACACCCCTCCCCGTCTGTGCCCTCTCTCTCTCTCTCTCCCTCCTGTCCGATAAAATTCAACCCCTCGAGCCTGTTCGGCCATTCTATCAGACCACGGCTGATCTGTACCTCGACTCCAATTACCCCCCCCCCCCCCGTATCTCCACGATCCCCCGACCTGACAAACATCTCTCCACCTCAGTCTGGACAATGTGAATGGATCCACAGCCGTAATCCACAGCCTTTTGGGGGAGAGAGAGAGAGAGAGAGAGAGAGAGTTCTTCTAGTCTTTGTGGTTCAAAAACTACCTCCTGATTTCACTCCTAAATGGCCGGCTCTAATTTTAAGACCATAAACAATAATAACCCTCGCACGACTTCCAGCCGCCTCCAAGCG